TCCAAGGGTGGAGGTGGAGATTATGCTTTAAGGGGATTGAGTATTGAGTATTTGGGTATTGGTAGTGATTTATCTATTATTCCCATAGACAGGCCCCCAAAACTTGTGAACAGCCTTCCCTGAAGAATTTAAGCTGTTATAGCTACAAACGGTGGGCCAACTCAATATTAAACCCTATTCACTAAGACTGGGATGCCATTAAAGTTCATGTGCATGTAAAGGCAGGCATCCCAATACTTTTGGCAATATAATGTATATGTGGTAGCAGGAAAAATGGGCGTTAACACCCAGCTGCCACACGGTGGTTTAAGGCTGTGTGTGGAGAGCTCAATCAATGCACGCTCCCAGCACACAGACCAAGCAATCTCCAACAGCTTTCCATCACGGCTTTCGCTCTGGAACCAGTGGAATGGGCTCCTGATCGCATGAGAGCCAATCGCAGCTGTCTTGTGATAGAGAAGCAATGCTGCCTCCCAAAGTTAAAGTCCACTTAAAGTGCCACTGGGAGGCAGCATGACGGGGTAATAGACTTAAGATTCTGAAGATTCAGCCGTAATTCCCTCAGTAGGTGGCCTTTTTGGCTACCTGTCACCTGAGATACCTTAATTTAAAATTCAAAGGAGCAAGGCAGAAAACTGTCAAACAAAAAGTGTCTGCATCCAATCAGATGCAACCATTGTTCAAGTATTTTGACAGCTGGCAGGGCCAGCTGTTAATATACAATTGGCTTGATGGGAGATACTGCATAGCATGGATGGAGGATCCTGCTAATTGTTTTTCTTTCAGTCCATAGGCAGAATGAAAGAAGTGTGTTTGGCCTGCTTAACACTAAATTTGCATCACTTTCTTTTTTGCCTTCCAGTGTCATGTTAGGCAAATAAAGATTATACCCTTTGTTTGCACTGTATTACATATGGAAATGACATCCTTCGATGAGAATGACAGCTTTATTTAGTAACATTACACAGTAGGCAGATTGCCCCATCACACTTTTCAGGTGTCTTGTAACTGTAGGACAGTATTACTGTACTAGAGGGGAAATATGATTCAGTGGTAGACATAGCTGGTCTCTGGTCACGTAGCTTCAGCTACACTCCAGCTGACTGTGATTCAAACCAATACATTATAACACTGAGCTTTAACACTTGGAACCCCAGAAGAATGAATGACAGATATTCAAAAGTTTTCACTAAAGTTGTGATTGCCATCCATTTGTAGTTTCACATTTTAAATTTAAATGGATTTTTTGCCTAGATGTTTTAAAATCTTCTCCAATGTCAGAGCCTGCACAAAGCTAAGGTCCTTCTACATCGGGAGTATCCACTCCAATCAGCAAGGGATCCATGAACAAATCTACTGGAGAACCAGAGCCAAAAGGAATGCATGTCACTTTTGCACATCTGTGTCCGTTCAGGTTTTCCCTCCATCTTGAAACTGACCCAAGTTAGGTCTATGGGAAGGTGGATGTAAATAAACGAGGCTGAGCTGTGATTGACACATCATCACTGTGTCACACAGCACAAACTAGCTGAAGCATTCTGTATGGCTTGCTGATATGAACAAGCGCCTAAGGGAATTGTAATTATTGTACAATCAGATTGCACGGCCAGTATTTGATCACTGCTCATTGTATCATTTGTATAGGATTTGTGGGTCTCTGGTAGCAGGCCTCCTAATTATTATCCTATTACTTCTATTGTATTCTACAATCCCTTGGTAGCACTAAGTTGGGCAACAGAATGATTTGCTTTTTTTACGCTCTGTGGTGTGCACACACAAAACTAACACCAGGAGCAATAAAAAAGTGAGCACATAAAAAAATTGCACAGGATATAACACATGGTCCTCCTCTAAAGAGAAAGGGCCCTAGCCCTGAAACCCAGGGAGCAAGACTCCTGATGCGGACAAGGTATTCATGGTCCACCCAGCCAAAATCATGTGGACCCTATTCTCCAGGAGACCTGCTGAGGCAAGGTCCACCCAAGTGCTAGGTGGGGCTGTCCCAAAGGGAGACCTCCCAGAAAAGGGAGAACCTGACCATAAGGCCATGTGACCCCCCCCCCCCCCCAAACTTTCAGAGCAAGCTCAAGAACCTATACCCTACTAATCATGAGAGAATAAAGTGCTATGTACAAAAGAAAATAAGTGCTTGGGTGCCAAAGTGCAAGACATTAGCTGGCCTTCCAGCTGGTATAAAAATTCCTTCGGTTTCACCTAAAATACCCATCCCAGGAGGCAGGTATGGAAAACAGTATGCTAGGCTGCTGTAACTTAGGTGTCATACTTAAAACACACAGTTACTTTTTCTGGCACACCAGAACTGCCACTCAGCCCAGCCCCTGGCCAGACAAATGCAGTATCATCCTTACTAGAAAGGCATTAGCACTAAGGCTGCATTCACATCTTTTGTTGTCTGTATTTTTCCTGAGATTACCTATGGGTTGAACAATTCTTCTGGCAGTTAAGGCTGCAATCTTTCTTGATCTAACTGACCTTGGCTTAGTATGAAAAAAATCCCCAAATTTTCCAGCTCTTAAGTGATTAAACAGTACTTCAAGTCTTTAGATATTTTTTTATATCCTTTTCCATCTGTTATAAAGTTCCGTTTCCTTGTTACGCAGGTCTTTTGACAGCTCTTTTCTGCTCTCCATGGCTTAGTATCTAGCCTGCTCAGAGCAGCCACGTGAGAGCTAACAAACTCATTGACTATTTATACACAGAAACCAATTGCAATTTTAAAATCCCCAGATGTGGGAAATTAACCTTTAATTGCCATTTTAACCTGTGTGTGTCTGTACCAAGGCCAAACATTCCAGGGTATGTAAACTTTTGATCAGGGCCATTTGGGTGATTTCTGTTACCATTATGATTTAAAAAGGAGCCAAACAACTATGTGATAATAAATGGCTTCATATAATCACTAGCCTTAAATAAAAGATTTGTTTTTGCCCTGATCAGTCATATTCTCAATATCAATTCCAAAACGTTGTCATTTATGCAGTGTATGCAACCTTTTGAGCACAACTGTATATATACATATTTCTATACCCTTACAAGGTCAGAGGAAATTGCCCACTTTAGATTGTACGCCCCTTGAGGGTTAGGGACTGATGTGAACGTACAATATATATGTGAAGCGCTGCGTAAATTGATGGAGCTATATAATTACCTATAATAAACAAATAAATATATGATGCATATAAATTATGAGATCCAATCGCAATGATAAGAGTTAAATGAGTTGGATATCAAAAAAGTTCATTGTTCTTGATTCCTTAAAGATGAGCTCCACCCAAAAGGGGAAGTTCCGCTTTAAGGACTGCTCCCCATTAAGGATTGGCACCTTTGGGGGGCGGGTACCCGAATTTGACAGGTACCCGCTCCCACTTCCGGTCCGATCGCCTAGTCCTCCCTCCCTGTAGTCTTCTGGAACACGTGACAGGTCCCAGAAGACTACAGGACCATTCATGAAGCGCAGCATGCACAGTGGGTGCCCACACTGAAGATGCCGACTTCCTGGAATACAGGACGGCCGTGAAACACGGACGGCGGTGAAACTGGCTAAAGGGGACACACTGCGGGACCGAGGGACAGGTAAGTGGCTGTTTTTTTAAAAGTCAGCAGCTACAGTTTTTGTAGCTGCTTTTATTTTAGTGGAACTCCACCTTAAATCAGCCTTTATTAACCTTTTCAATGCAGAGGAACCCTTGACATAAGAGGCAAACCGCTGCTAAAATGACTTTATCCTGGCAATATATTAGTGTGAAAGTCAGAGGTAAGAATGCTCCTTACACTTGTGGTCATTTTAAAGAATGACCCCTTACAGATTGCTAAAAAGATTAATGGTGTTATTGGGAACTTACCTAAGAGGCAACAATTGCTCAAGGAACCCCTGGCAACCTCTGGAGAACCCCTAGAGTTCCACGGAACCCTGGTTGAAAAACCCTGCCTTGAATATTAGTAATTATGCAAAATAACAGAGGCAACTACGTACTGCTTATTATTCTGCTTTTATAATTTCATGTTAGCCCTGAAGAAGGGGGAACCAATGTCCCCAAAACGTGTTGGCTCAACTTGGAAATCTATTATCTTCAATACAAGATTGCAACTGTTCCCTCTGGAGCCTGGCGCTCCTCCATCCGAATACCTCTGACACTGCAGTCATACTAGTAAGGTAGCAGCCATACCTCCGAAGGAAGACAAACACCATCATTTACCCACAGAACCAGGAAAACAAATGATTATAAATCACTCATCCAGTGCAGCACATTCCGACTCCCACTAACCATCCTATTACCTCAGGAATTACTATCTGCGAAGCCAATGTTTTACTTTGCTACCCACAACCAAGAATGAGTGACAGGTCAGAAGATGTTATGTAATCAGCTGCTCCCTTCCCGGGCCTGTCCTCAACACTCAGCCATATCTGGAGCAGGAGGTCACACAACACCTCCCCGCCCCCAACACCTCTCCAACCAGTCTGACCCCACAGCACGCGCATCCACCGGTCCCGCCCACTACCTGCAAGGACTGTCTCCCCGCCAATGACAGAAGCCCTATGGACAGCCCCCGCCCTACACGTCACGTACAGGTGAGCTCCCGGAAAAGGAGCAACACAAAAAACAACAACGGGGCGGCGTGACGTGCTACGTGCGTCTGAGGGACAGGCTGAGCGGCCGGGGAAGCAGGAGAGACGGCGGACACGGAGGACTGTGCGGTGCTCGGCAGTAGGCTGCCTGTGCCTGGACGGAGCTGAAGACCGAGGAGCTCCTCCTTTGCTTTCCTGGGGCGAGAGAGCGGCTGGGGCCCCTCCTTCGCCCGCCGCCTCTTCTCCTCACACGTCTGTGCTGCTGGCAGTGTAGTGAGTGGAGCGGAGAGAGGCGGCACGTGTACGGGGGAAGGATGGACACAGCTCGGACATACCGAGGGAGCCCAGTGTGAGCCGACACCGCTCTACACCTGCTGTGCCTTGGACGAGCTCCTTCAACTGACGGAGGACGATGGCCTGGGTGAAACTGTTCCGCCGCCAGGCGGGGGGGAACCTGGGGAAGGTCTACCAGCCGGGCAGCGTCCTCTCCTTGGCTCCCACTAAGGGCCTGTTCAACGAGCCCGGCCAGAACAGCTGCTTCCTCAACAGTGCCGTGCAGGTGAGCATCGATAAACTCCACTACTGGGACTGGTGTGGGTCAGCGGACAGCCATGGGTTACTGTGCGGGAGCCTGGCTGCCATGGGTTACTGTGCGGGAGCCTGGCTGCATGGGTTACTGTGCGGAAGCCTGGCTGCCATGGGTTACTGTGCGGGAGCCTGGCTGCCATGGGTTACTGTGCGGGAGCCTGGCTGCCATGGGTTACTGTGCGGGAGCCTGGCTGCCATGGGTTACTGTGCGGGAGCCTGGCTGCCATGGGTTACTGTGCGGGAGTCTGGTTGCCTTGCTGGGGTCTGGTTGTCATGGGTTACTGTGCGGGAGTCTGGTTGCCATGCACGAAGCTGGTTACTGTGTGGGAGTCTGGTTGCCGTGCACGAAGCTGGTTACTGTGCGGGAGTCTGGTTGCCGTGCACGAAGCTGGTTGCCGTGGGTTACTGGGCAGGAGTCTGGTTGCCGTGCACGAAGCTGGATGCCGTGGGTTACTGGGCAGGAGTCTGGTTGCCATGCACGAAGCTGGTTGCCGTGGGTTACTGGGCAGGTGTCTGGTTGCCATGCACGAAGCTGGTTGCCGTGGGTTACTGGGCAGGTGTCTGGTTGCCATGCACGAAGCTGGTTGCCGTGGGTTACTGGGCAGGTGTCTGGTTGCCATGCACGAAGCTGGTTGCCGTGGGTTACTGGGCAGGTGTCTGGTTGCCATGCACGAAGCTGGTTGCCGTGGGTTACTGGGCAGGTGTCTGGTTGCCATGCACGAAGCTGGTTGCCGTGGGTTACTGGGCAGGTGTCTGGTTGCCATGCACGAAGCTGGTTGCCGTGGGTTACTGGGCAGGTGTCTGGTTGCCATGCACGAAGCTGGTTGCCGTGGGTTACTGGGCAGGTGTCTGGTTGCCATGCACGAAGCTGGTTGCCGTGGGTTACTGGGCAGGAGTCTGGTTGCCGTGGGTTACTGGGCAGGAGCTGGTTGCCGTGGGTTACTGGGCAGGAGTCTGGTTGCCGTGGGTTACTGGGCAGGAGTCTGGTTGCCGTGGGTTACTGGGCAGGAGTCTGGTTGCCGTGGGTTACTGGGCAGGAGTCTGGTTGCCGTGGGTTACTGGGCAGGAGTCTGGTTGCCGTGGGTTACTGGGCAGGAGTCTGGTTGCCGTGGGTTACTGGGCAGGAGTCTGGTTGCCGTGGGTTACTGGGCAGGAGTCTGGTTGCCGTGGGTTACTGGGCAGGAGTCTGGTTGCCGTGGGTTACTGGGCAGGAGTCTGGTTGCCGTGGGTTACTGGGCAGGAGTCTGGTTGCCATGCACGAAGCTGGTTGCCGTGGGTTACTGGGCAGGAGTCTGGTTGCCGTGGGTTACTGGGCAGGAGTCTGGTTGCCGTGGGTTACTGGGCAGGAGTCTGGTTGCCGTGGGTTACTGGGCAGGAGTCTGGTTGCCGTGGGTTACTGGGCAGGAGTCTGGTTGCCATGCACGAAGCTGGTTGCCGTGGGTTACTGGGCAGGAGTCTGGTTGCCGTGGGTTACTGGGCAGGAGTCTGGTTGCCATGCACAAAGCTGGTTGCTGTGGGTTACTGGGCAGGAGTCTGGTTGTTATAGGTTACTGTGCAGGAGGTGTGGTTGCTATGGGTTCTTTCACCTGGCTAGCCCATGACCTTCTATGATACCTGCTAGCCATGTGACATTGCCTGAAGCTGGGTTCACATGCGTGGGGCTGGTTTCTGTGCAAGGAAGTCGGGTGCAGTTTTGTTCAGTGGTATAGGTGCAAATTTTTAAAGTCTGAGTCCTGGTTCACACTGATGTGATTGAGGGAAGTGAAGCAAATCCTGTGAATTTCCCACACTGCATTGCACTCACAGGGCATCCATGTGATCTGCTGTGGGTGTCCATGTTAAATTAACACCCTGAAACAGATTGCAAAACGCAGTGCGAATGCCAGAGTCGGATTGCATGGGTGTGAACCCTCAGGTGCGGGGAAAAAGGGTCCTGCACCATTTTGGTGCGAATGTGATGCAATTTGAGCCAACACTCACACCCCAGTCACATCAGGCGCGACTTGGCATGTGATTTGTAAATTGTATGCCAAGGTGTACCCTATTTTCCGCAATCACAGCGGTCAAATCGGTGCGCATCCAACTCGGTCAGAGCCGCACAGATTTCTAAAGTAGTACATATACTACTTTAGGTGCGATTTTTGAATAGACATCTATCAGATGTCTTGTAAATCGCACCTGAAATCGGCATCTCACCCAACTTTAAAATTGTACGACTTCACTGTAAGTAATTTCAAAGTCGAGCTTGATGTGACTGCGGTGTAAATGTATGGCTCAAATACCACCACATAGACCTCACATGTGATATGCACAAGAGTGTGGTGCGATTCACTTGCGGTATCCCACACTGCACAAGTGTGAACCCAGTCTGACACTTGAATTTGCACCTAAACCGGTATGAAAATCCCACCTGACTCTTTAAAATCGCACTGCAGCCAGCCCACACCTATGTGAACTGGCTCCATAGAAAGCTGGTTTGGTTCACATGTTATGTGAATCGGATGTGGTTCAAAAAGCATCTAATTTGCCTATGTGAACCGGGGCTGAGAGATGGACCAAGTACAGTGTAAGGCTGGCCATACATGTAGATTTTTGGCTGAGAATATTTCAAGAAAATTCATTTGATTTTCTATTTGTTAGTGTGGTCAAATCGATGTTTGTTTTTGACCGCGGTGACAGAAAAATGTGAAGGGGCAGGAAGGAAAACGTTTCTCGATCAAACAAATTTTCGGCCGGTGTATGTAGTTATCCTTAAATTACATTCCTTTTAAAATCGAATGTTAAAATTAAAAGACCATTTTTGAACGACGTTCGTCCATTCATCGAATGTACAAAGAATTTTTGTATGACTTTTATGAATGTTCTCAGCCAAAAATCTACACGTGTATGGCCATCTTAAGTCTAGGTCTCCACTTTTGGGCAGCCGAAAAAACATTTTTTTTTTTTCAGACACGTGTCTGGGGGGGGGGGGGGGGGGGGAGCGTGCTTTCGGCTGCCCAAAACTGCATGGTGCCAAAACTCCATACAGTTCCATGTGTCTGCCCTGCAGGTGCGTATTAAAAAAAAAGGGTTGAAGTCCCCTCGAGTTTCACATAGATGCAAATGTCCATTCAAATGCACAAAGACAGCGGCACAGAGACGCAGATATATGACGCTAGCTAGTGATCATAGAACAAACAAGGTACGGTAGCTCAGCACGCTGCCTGAATTGGCCTTTATTTATTGTAGGCTTACCTGTAGGTATACGTTTAAACTGAGAGTTTACTATAGCACTTTGCCACTCTAACAGGGGAATGTGGCTACCAGTGTAATGGAGACATAGGGGCATTCTTCCCACTTGACTTACCACCAATGTAAGGACCATTTTTCCCCGCTGACCAGCAATGTAAGGGAGCTTTTCCCCACTTATGTTGCACCAATTATTGTAGGGGGGCTTTCTTCCCACTGATCACAGTGTAAGGGGCATTGTTCCTGCTAGCTATCAATAGATTGGTTTTAGCAGGGTTTCAACAAGACCAGAAAATTATTTCAAGGATTCCTCTGGGGTACAAAGTTTGAGAAAAGCTGGCTTATGCTATGAGCTGTAATTCTTGCATATTATGTTTGAAGTAAGTATTGCTCATAGCAACAAGTTCATTAATGCTTTTCATGTGCCCAGTCCAGATGGGAAAAAACTATTCTGATTGCTAGGAGCATGCAGTTCTTCTTTCAGAGTCTTCTCATACACACGGCCCAGTGCGGGTGTATTTCTGTAGTGTCGGTGCTGTATGGTGATAGCTGGGTTCATGATGGTGTATGATGGCTGCATTCATATACCTACATACATTGAGGGGAATGTGCATGTAACCAGTTGGCTTCTAGCTGTCATATCGAAAACTTAAAGAATAAGTTCACCTTTCATAACATGTTACACCCATGTTCAGAGTGTAACTTGTGACATGTTATGATCAGACTGGCCTTCGCTCCCCCCTTTGACAGCTAGTGGGGGATCTTCCCCCACCCCCGCTAGCTGTCAAATTTTAAAATCATAATGTAAGACTACTGTCCCAACAGTCTTAGCGGCTGTTGGTTTGTAGTTCTCAATGAACTACCACTGTGCTGTGGAACGTCGTGGTGTTTCATTCATTCTTTCTGCCAGTGTACCTGCATGCTCATACATCACGTACGGGCAAGCAAATATACTGACTGATCTGCAGAAGACCTGCATGGCACCAGCCATCTGCTGCTTGCTGGTGCAATGTTTTATAGGCTCCTGCAGACAAAAATAATAAATGCACTTTTTTTTTACCTGCAAAAAAATATGCATTTATTATTTTTTACTAAAAGGTGAACTTATCCTTTAATTTAAACTGAAGATAGAAGCTGATTGGTTGCCATGCACAGCTGCTCCAGATTCTGTCTGCTCCAGTTTTTATTACCTCACTGTATAGCAGCCTCAGCCAGGGCTCCCTCCAGAGGTTGCTAGGGGTCCTGGAGCTGTGACTGACCTCTCATCTCTTGGCACCTGCATGACACTAATCTTTTTTTATTTGGCCGTAAGGATAGCATTCTTCTCATTAACCAACAATGTAAAGGGGCATTTTCTGAAAGACTCCAGATTAGTTTAGCAGGGATTCCCTGAGATCTGCACATTATTTTGAAGTTTCCTCTGGTGTATAGTAGAACTAAAGTTTGTGCTGTAGCAAACTAGTAGATGGGCTTTTTATTGCAGAATAGGTATGCAATGTCTCTTCTGCAATAAAATGCACCTACCTGCCTGCTCACTGTGTTCTCCATTGATGTTATCTGAGCTGCACATGCTCAGCTTGGCTTACAGTGCTGTCACTGACCCTGTGTACTGGAATGACATCATCCTGTGGTGACCAGTGAAGATTGGAACAAAGCAGAAGATGCTGGCCAAGTGAGCATTGTGTTTTTCTTTAAGAAAGGCTGCTGTGTATTAACTGTAGTTGGCTTTATCCATATACAGTT